CGCAGAGCTTACAGTCCACAATCAAGACCTTGCCGGCTTTTTCACTTCTATTCCAGCACAGCGCATCATGCACTCGGTACGAACACTCCTTGACTTCTACAAACAACAACATCCACATGTTGATCACAATACAATGTTCACTGTCAATCTTCGGCAAACAGACAACACCTTGCGGATGTTCCGAGGCCGGCCTCGCAAAGCAGCCAACAGCCATCACCAAATCCGATTTGGCGACATTTATGACATTTGTCAACTATCCTTGCAAGCATCAATCTTTACACACATGAACCACACCTTCCAGCAAGTACGTGGCAGCGCTATCGGCAATCAAATCAGCCCGGTTCTCGCCAACATTACAGTTAGCCATGTGGAACATCAGTGGCGCACACAGCCACAAATCCAATTACTCCTACAACAATTCTCTGACCGTATCTATATCACCAGATACGTTGACAACCGACTTGTTCTTATCGACAAATCACAACAACATCATGCAGGCATCCGGCACTTTCTCACAGACACTTTCTATGAACCTCCGGTTCTCCTTGAACAAGAACCAGACCTATCCTTTCTTGGCTGCACAATCGACCCTGATCGTCAGACCTTATCCTACATACAACCAACCAACACTTGGCAATTCCAACCTTTTGCTTCAGCAGCATCAAAGCAACACAAACTATCAGCAGCATTCAGCCGGATTTGCTTGGCTGCTCGACACAGCTACCCACGTAAACAAGCAAAAGATGATGTTGAGTCCTTAATTCGAAGGTACGTATCGCTCGGATATCCCGAGAAAGTACTACGAGCCAAGGCGTCTCAGATGCTTCGGCATACTTGCTGATTGGTTCTTTGGTCAAGTAGGAGCTTTGATTTAATACCTAATATCCTCACCTCAAACCACCAGTTTTATCCGTCTAGTTTCAAAAAGTAGGTTTGTTTGACTCCTGTTTTCGACATATGTGACTCGAGACCAACAGCACTGAGGGGTGATTTCCTCACATTCAGTCCAAAACAACCACACCGAGGGAAGTCGTTCTTGGAAAAATCGTGCTCAGCGGCTTGATATACGTCTAAGTGAAAACCTTGGATCTAAGGGAGCAACCAGTGGAACAGTAACATCGTGCCCTAGTGGCTTGCTGTGTGTGAGAAACCCTGAATCAAAGGGAAAAGCAGGGGGCCCGTGGACGCATAGATGGCACGGGCCAACGAAGACCCATCTATGTCGTCGTGAAAACGTACCTGCATCCGAAATGGCAAGGTGGCCAAGCCAAAAACCACCCAAGCCGACATGTCATGACATGACATGACATGACATGCTAATGTAACAACACGACATGACGGTTATCATTTCATCTCATTTCACCCTCTCCATTATGGAGTTTACCAAAGTGTGTAAACGCTTGCCATGTGTAAAAACACTCTGTGTAAAATTGTTCTGTGTGTAAACGCTTGCTGTGTGTAAAAGCTTGCTGTGTGTAAAAGCTTCTCTGTGTAAAAGCTGGTTGTGTGTAAAAGCTTCTGTGTGTAAAAGCTTCTCTATCAAGAACTTGCTGTGTGTAAAAGCTTTCCTTGTGCAAGCTTTGTAGTACAAAGTAGTACTGGGAAGTGCTTGTGCAAGGTTTGTAGTACAAAGTAATACTGGGACGTACTTGCGCAAGCTTCGTAGTACAAAGTAGTACTGGGAAGTGCTTTGTGCAAGCTTTGTAGTACACAGTAGTACTGGGAAGTGTTTTGTGCAAGCTTTGTAGTACAAAGTAGTACTGGGAAGTGCTTTGTGCAAGCTTTGGAGTACAAAGTAGTACTGGAACGTGCTTATTGTGCAAGCTTTGTAGTACAAAGTAGTACTGGGAAGTGCTTTGTGAAAGCTTTGTAGTACAAAGTAGTACTGGGAAGTGCTTTGTGCAAGCTTTGTCGTACAAAGTAGTACTGGGAAGTGCTTGGTGCAAGCTTTGTAGTACAAAGTAATACTGGAAAGTGCTTTGTGCAAGCTTTGTAGTACAAAGCTGTACTGGGTGCAAGCTTTGCAGTACAAAGTGGTACTGGGAAGTGCTTTGCACAAGCTTTGTATTACAAAGTAGTACTGGAACGTGCGTTGCGCAAGTTTCGTAGTACAAAGTTGTACTGGGTGCAAGCTTTTCAGTACAAAGTAGTACTGAGAAGTGCTTTGTGCAAGCTTTGCAGTACAAAGTAGTACTGGGAAGTGCTTTGTGAAAGCTTCGTAGTACAAAGTAGTACTGCGACGTGCTTTGCGCAAGCTTTGTAGTACAAAGTAGTATTGGGAAGGACTTTGTGCAAGCTTTGTGGTACAAATTTGTACTGGGTGCACGCTTTGCAGTACAAAGTGGTACTGGGAAGTGCTTTGCGCAAGCTTTGTAGTACAAAGTAGTACTGCAACGTGCTTTGCGCAAGCTTTGTAGTACAAACCTGTACTGGGTGCAAGCTTTGTAGTACAAAGTAGTACTGGGAAGTACTCTGCGCAAGCTTTGTAGTACGAAGTAGTACTCTGATGTGCAGAAGAGGCGAGATGAGTTGAGACTAGTTTCGGTGAGATGAGAAAGGCTGAGCTGTGCTCAGATGAAATGAAAATAGATGACCCATGCCTTAAGAAATTATTCCAGGGTATCAACTAGGTTATGGAATAATTTCTTTTGGAATAATTTTCAAGGAATAATTTTTGAGGGGGGTAGGTATACGATTATGCATGTTGGAATTTGAAAATCATGATCCAGCCCGTCAAGATACCCCGGAATAATTAGGTTTTGGAATAATTTTTGGTAACTTAAAACATCTTGAAGCAGCCTATACTTCCTACGTTTGGCCTGGCCTTTCCAAAAGCCATTCCTAGCTTGGCGGTGTTTGCCTGAAAACTTTTTGCTGGAAATGCCAATTGCAGTTATTTAAGGCATCATGCAGTTTGGGCAATTGCTGCCAACCTTTTTTTGCAGCATACTTGCACGCACAACTAGTGTCGACCGGACCACCTTTCTCTCACGGTACTTTCTCTCGAGAGCTCTTTGGGTGGCAATGAATGGGGAATGTTAGGAAAATACCTAGGAAAAGGCCAGGTTGAGTGCCATTGTGTGGGCTTTCCCCAGGGGGGAAATTATTCTAGGGGTATTGGAGATGCCTGGTACCCCTCAAAAACGAAAGCGGACAGCTAATCACCAAATTAGCCCAGAAATTGGCAAGAATTGCCAAAAAAACAAATGAAACCCCACACATTTCCCACCCATTCCCACTATGGCCAACGGGAGTCTTTTGGAAGGAAATGAAGGGAATATGGAAGAAATAGGGGCGCGGACGCAAAGTTGGGAAAACCTCTAGAAGAGAGCCAAGTTGTTTTTTTTTCTCCGGGCTTTCCCCAGGGGAGAAATTATTCTGGGGGTATTGGAGATGCCTGGCACCCCTGAAAAACAAAAGGGGGCAGCTGCTACAATCACAAAACAAATCCAGAAATTTGCAAAAAGATTAACCAGTGACAACCAAATATTTTGCTTGTCCCACTCATTCCCACTAAGGCCAGAACCACCAAACTAGCCCAGTTTCAAACACCCAAAACAAACTAAAACCATGTTCAGCCAGTGGGTTGCTGAGAGGAAATTTGTTTAAAGATACTATCCTGACTCTTCTTGATCCTATCTGAGTATGTTGAAAATTGTTTAAATTTGTGCCCCAGCTCTGCAAGAAGGGAAACCGTTCTCGGCCGTTTGCGCGCAGCTGCTTACGATCACTTGCGTTTGGCTAGAAATAGACTATACCGGTATCATTTTGATGGAAATTATTCCATTTTTCCATATGAACTCATGAGTTCTTAGAATAATTTATTTTTTTGAACTCAACGGGTGCCGGAATAATATTATAATTATTCTGAGGTATGTTGACGGGGGTATCCCCTTAAGGCATCCCTCATGAAAATAGTCAAGAAGAACTTAGCTGACATATGAGAAGGTATGAAATGAGATGAGAAGAGCTCAGATGAGATGAGTTGAGATGAAGTGCAAGTGAAGTGTGGAGTGCGGGGTGTGAAGAGTGCCGTGTGAAGTGTGAGGAAAGTCTTCGCTTGGCGTTGCATTGCACCGGGGTCACGCGCAGGTCATGTTCTTGGACAGCAACACTGCACCAGCTGCGCACAAAGCACGCACGCACGGGCCTGGCTGGCGCACGGCGCATGCAAGTTCTATAGATGAGAAAGGTCTTATAGTATGTCCCTAAGGCAACTTCCGCCCCGCCTCGTGCGGGCACTACTGGTATTGTCATACATATACATATATATCATATTGACATAGACATACATTACATGTAATATTGCGCATATGTATATTTATATATACACAAAAACATACACATTTTTAGATATATTATATATATACATATAGATATAGATAGAAAGAGAGAAAGATAGATAGATAGATAGATACCATAGATAGATAGATAGATAGATACATAGATAGGTAGGTAGATAGGTAGATAGGTAGATAGGTAGATAGATAGATAGATAGATACATGTACATTTACATATGCAGATACATATAAATATATATATATATTTATTTATTTATAATATGTACATAAATAAACGATATAGATATGTGATATGCATGTACATACCAACGATGGGGATCTTGCTAAACATTGTCAATGTATGAAGTGGAAACCTCGTTAAGTTCCACCATACCATGTATGCTGATGATTGTCATAAGGGTTGCAGTATTTGTTTCTCCATCATGTAAGTACCATTTTGAACCGTGGGTTGTTCATGAGCCTCGCCGCAATCATTTCACCCATTTGAATCTAAAAAACACTCGGAATTTCCTAAGTTTCCGGTAGATGTTTCCAGTTCATCATCAAAATCCTCTGGTAATTTAACATAGCTATGGAAAATCACCATTTTTAATGGGAAAATCCACTATAAATGGCCATTTTCAATAGTTTTTTGTATGTTTACCACGGCAGTTTCTTTTGGGCCCTTGGGGATGCCCCAAGATATCCAAGACGCCGAGGAGACGAATCAATTCGACGGCACAGTGTCCATGACGGCGCCGAGCACTCTCACCGTCTCAGGGCATCTCGACCCAACTTTGAGAGCATAGCTTAAAATGATGCACTATAAATCACTATATTTATCTATATCTAGTTTTTGTGCAGGTGCCAGACTAAACCCCGTTATCACTCAACGAATCATTTTGCTGACGATTCTGAAGTCACCATTGTTGATGGGTAGTAAATTACCATGTTTAAATGGATAAATTACTATGTTTAATGGGGAACTGACCATGTTCGATCCCATGAGTTCGACATCTGCAGTGGTCTCTAGGACGAACCTGGTGGTCCCCGTGACCGGCGCTGATTCGATCTTTCCGGAAATTTTCATCGCCAGCCTTCCTGTGTCTTGCAACACACCGGTGCCTCGACCGAGGCCCTGGGTCACTGGGGGAATTTCATAGGGAAAATATGGGAAAATGGCGGTTGAAATGGGGTTTTAAACCGTGAAATTATGGAATAAATCGGTTTTAACATGTTTTAACATGTTTTTACAAATTTCCATAGAATGGGTTTCTATAGTACAAAATGGCCTGCTCTGAATAGGCAAAATGAATCAAAATGATGGGAAATGCGGTTTTTAAACCGTTACATTTAGGGTACAGTATCCCATTTTCAAACAATCCATGTGATGGAGGTAGTTATATGCCTTCAACAAAATGGAAAGGAGAGTTGGCGACCCACAAACATGGTGGTGTGACTAAAAACAGCCCTGGGAGCGAAGGAGAAAGCCCTTCTGTCTTGCCACCTGCCATGCAAAGCTAACTAGTCCAATCTCGGAGAGTGGCCAATGGTCATAGCCATGACTGAGCAACAACCTGTATTCTTGTAGCGAAGTCTATAAAATGTTTCTGAAGTTTCCGAACTGTAATTTCAAGAGCTTACAGGATTGGTCAATTTCTTGTCGAGTATCTGGAACAAGATGATGAATTGAAGAAAACGGCAAGCCCGGGGTCAGATTGGCCGTTGTGTTTTGGGGCCTTGGCTAGGACCTGGGTAAAGTTGCTGCGCTATGACCTTGTAGTTAGTAACTGGGAGCGTAGTGCTGTCAATATCTCCCAGTGCCCTGGTTTGGTTTTTGGAATCTAACACCATCTAGTAGAGGCTATTCGAGGAAATACAAGTTCCCCCCAGCGACCCCGTAGTTTAACATATCTGTTGAATGTGTTTAAAAAATTGAAAATCATCATGTTTTCGGTAAATCATCTCTAAATCAGCCATATTCAAACATAGCCATGGCAGCTCTAAATCAGCCATGTTTAAACATAGCCATGGCAGCCATGGTATCCCAGCGCATTCCACGGCGATCTCCCAGGAATGCCAAGAGCAAACACTTCAGTCCTTGGTGGCCTCAGGAGAGACCAACTTATGCAGCGACACAGTGACTTGGACCAGATTTTTTTTGGCGGGGGAAGAAATGACGAATTTTGACCATTTCTAGAATTTTCATGGGGAGAAGATACACCAAATCTGGTTGGTGGTTTGGTTTCCATGAACTTGATGTTTATATATATATATATATATTCGGGAATGTCATCATCCCAACTGACGAACTCCATCATTTTTCACATTAGAATCATTATACACCAAATATACTACTGGTTGGTGGTTTGGAACATTTTTTTCATGTTTCCCATTCTATTCGGGAATGTCATCATGCCAAGTGACTATTTTTCAGAGGGCTAGGGCGAAAAACCACCAGAAATCCACGAAGATTTTGCCGATGTGGCCAAGGTGATTACTCAGGAGAACCGCTTGTCTTGCATTATTCAACCAACAGGCGAGACGGTCGGTGGGGTTATAGACATGCTATGAACCAAAAAAAGCAGAAAAGACTAGAAATGGTATGTTTTAGGGTTGTCTAAATGTTGTTAATGATATTTCCAGATGTAGAAATGCAATAGAATTTTAGATACCTGGAAGACACATGATCTTCATTTTGTGGCATGGACATGGCCAGTTTTCTGGGTCCACCGTGTGTTTTTGCCATTCATTTTTCAGGCTTCCTCGCGGTGTCCATCCATGAATTGACATCTATGGCCTGGTAACCCTTCTGTTTCATCAAGCACGGAGGTTTATAGCTTGGAACATCATCCAACTAAATTGGAGATTTTCCAGCAAGGCATGGAGCTGATTAGCGGAGGCTAGTTCCACATTTTTCCTTGCGAAAATCCCTGCCAATCACCAGGAAATCTCATTAATTCCCATGATATAAACCTATATAAACCTCCATTTATCCCATTTCATATCCCATGAAATCCCATGGAAATCCCCCTTTCTTCATGGTTCTTCATGGTTTTTCCAGATGCGCTCACCTTTTTTAGTTGCCAACCTTTCCAGCCCTTCCAGCCTTTCCGAAAACTTCGCCAGGCGCGGGAAATCTGGGTCTCTGCCTGCTGATCCACAGCGGCATCTTCTCCGATTGGAGCTGTGGAACCGTGGCACCGCCTGGTACGGTGCAAGTGGAAGTTCCGGAAGTTGGAGGCCGGGAATTCGGGGAGTCCATGAAAATTGGGCCCCAGGAACCGTTCGATAAGTTCGTACTATAATAACCTGCTTGGTGGTTTGGAACATTTGTTATTTTCCCCAATAGTTGGGATGATGATCCACTTTGACCAGTATTTTTCAGGAGGGTTGAAACCACCAATTAGTAACAAGTTTGTGTATGATACGCAAATAACGATATTTAAATGGGGTTATAAACCAACTTATAACTTGGGGGGCCATCCTGTACCGTCTATTTTTTTTTGCCATGTAGCGATTTCGGAAGGCAAATTGGGGAGACTTCGCTGATTTTTGTTGGGGGGATTTGGAGTCTTATTTGGCTGGTTTTTTGGGGGATTTGGCCATATTTGAATGATTTGTTTCGGCTGCAAACTGTTTGGGGGTTTAGCTGATTTAATTTGGGGCTGGAGCTGGATTTTAACCACCAAATTGGTCATGGATTTTGAGCAACAGTCGCTTGATGACTTGAAGCCAGGAAAGTTGGAGATTTCAACCAAAAAGATGGAATGAGGTATTTCACACAATTCCGGCATTGGAAGGAAAACATGGAATAATCGACTTAACCATGGAATTTTGCGAATTACATGAAAATGAGATAGCTGATTCAACCCCAAAGTCAATAAATTTGAATTCGCTGATTCAACCGGCTATCGGATAGTGGATTTCAACAGTTGTTGGTGGATCTTAAGCAGCAAAAACCATGGGATTTGAAGCAACAAGTTTTCTGGGCATCCGCAAAAAAAGGTAGTTTTGACTCCAGAAAAAAGTCGGCTTCTAGACGATCGTGAGGATTTTACCTGATTTTACCTACTTATGTTATCTTATTTTGCAACCAACTTCTGTGCATGTTTACAATTCAGAGAGGGGACCTTAGGCAACAACAGTGGTGATTCACCATGATTGAACAGACCATGTGAGATAAGCAGCAACAACTGCGATCGACTAATCAAAAATCAGGAGGCTTGACCAGCGTGAAATGACTGAATAAAATTCACACGAACCCACCAGAAAAATTGGGATAAAGGTACCAGAACACGTGGAAATAGTCAAAGATGTTCTTGGACCTGTCAGGAAATCCCACAAAGAATGGAGAAAGATCATCGCTTTTCAAGAGGAAAAAACATTATAGGTCCTTCATTTCCTGGATGTGCCCACATGCTTAGTGGTCGGCTGGGGCGTGGGTTGCAGTTGGTTGCCAGAGAAATGCTGTACTAGCAATGGAATTGGAGGATCAACAAACAATAACAAACATATCCTGGGAGCCTTTCCACTACAAGTACAAAGAGACAGTTTCATAATGTTTCATAGCATCCATGAATATTCCTTAAGATTTCGAGTGTGCTTACTGTAGCTGTATTGTGTTGTTGACGTGTCAAAGCAATGAGTGATATTGAGGACACATATTTATATTGAGGATATCATGGGACGTGTATGAGATCACCCATTTCCTCTCCACCACTATATAATGATGATCACCTCAACGCTTGCTTCTGTTATTAATGGCCAAAAAAATGTTGTTCCGTCTCCAGAAACACCGCCATGGGTCAAAACTTGGTACCCATGTGAACTTGACAATAGCTGGTAGTCCTGGATGTTCATGTCCCAAAGGTGGTATCATAGGTTGTATTAGTTTTTCATAGTTACATGCCATGGTGGAAACTTGGATAAATTGTTTAATTGCCAAACATGCGGCATGGTTTTCCATTCATAGGGATTCATATGCCCATTATACATCATTATACATCTTTGGGTTCACATCATGGTGGAATGACCAGGGTCCATACTCGTATATTGGTGTTTCATTATATTCCACATCGTGTTTTAACTCTGTATATTATATATTATACATATACATATGTACTATATAATACTATGTATATATACGTATATACATACATACACACTACATATTACACATAGGCATCTGCGATATATGTATACTACACTACGATATATGTATACTATATTATAATATGTATACATTGTTTTGTATTTATAGCATTTTCCATAGTGTACTCTTTTAGTCGTTGCTCCAAAAGCAGACATTTCAGTGGTTCCTGGGAAAAAAGGCCGCTGCAGGAGAAATGGGATGTGACTGTAAGAAATCCTGCCTGGCAAAAAACAATAAACGCTCGAAACCAAAAAAACACCGCAAATGTCCAAAACATGGTTTTCGGCAGAAAGGCGTAAAAAAAGTACCACTTGCCTTGCGAAGATGCAGGACATATACATATATGCACTATATATATATGATATACATATATGATATATATATATATATCTACTATATACATATATATATATGATATACATCCCGTTATCCTTGGTTAAATCCCACGTAACTGGAGCCGGCCATCAATGGCGCTGATGCCCCGCGTCGAGGTATCAGCGTGCCTGAGCAGAGCATGACTGGTTCGGAGCCCTTCATCGTCACTGTGGGTCGGGGCACCTAGGAGCGTCACTTGAAGAATTGCTCACTTCTTTGCTATTGGAGTGAGGTATACAGTATTATACGGTAGTATATAGTATATTTGGATTCTGATTATGAGTATATATGTATGTATATATATATATGTAAATATATATATATATATTATGATTACACACATTATTTAGATTATTATGTATGTATATATATATATAATGATTACATATATACTTTTTATCTAAATGATTTTGTTATGATTTTGCATGGTATTTATGTAAGATCCCGGAGAACCAAACAAAAACAAAGACCATTTCCGGAAAGTTTGGACGTGTTGATACAAGATAAAAACCACTTCATGGCTCGACCATGGCTCGATGTATGTTTTCTTGGTATCCAGCAACATTTTGGGAGAGTTTCTGGCCTTTGGGATGGTTTTAAACAGATCATGTAACCGACGCATCCATGGCCTCAGATGGCGAGCTGCCGCCCGAGAGTGTCTCTCAGGGTTTCTTGCAGGCCAGGTGATTCGTGTGTGATGTTGGATTGTCCGGAAATTTTGCATGGTGCGATGACGCACAAAAGTCATCAAAAGTCATTGCTGTCATGAAAGATGGAAATAGAATTATATACATAGAATGAAATAGATCTCGGGAGATTCCAGCACCTGATACTTGGAACTGTCAACAGTTTGGTGAAACCTGCGACAGTCCGACAGTCGAAACCTGCCTATTTTGTGGCGGTTCTGGGGGATGAACCATTCAGGGTCTTGGCTATCTCGTCACATGAGAGATGAGTAGTTTCAAAGAAATTCTCCGATTTTCTATCCGATTAAACAATATATAACATTGACTACAATTGACTAACGTTATCTAGTAGTCTAGTACGTATATGCGGATCCCAATAATTTTAGATACAAACTATCAATCTCAGTAGTGTGATTGGGTACCATTTGGCTACGTACCCCAATAGCTCAAATCTGGTCAATGTATTTGTTTCTATATATACATATTGGCTTGGCCGAACAGTATTTGACAATATCCAATACTATTGTTGTATGTTCCCAATACTAAAAAATATCTCATTGACCATAGGTACATATCTAATATCTACTCAATAGAGTATCTTTCAGATAGTAAGATAAACATAGTTACCCATACTATTGTTATTGTTTGCTGGCAACTAGAAGTGTGTTCTCAAAAGAATATAAGTACCTGTACTATAGTATCCTACACTACTATATTTGTTGGATCGGCAGAAGGATGTTTTGATACTAGCACAATATACTATATAGTAATCCCCAAAAAGCTAGAAACGTAATTCATCACTATTTTAGTATGACTTCACTGTTCTATTCTTTTAGAGATGATTATACGATGATTATAGAAATCATGTCCAGTTTCCCTTCAAAGATGGAGCTGCAAAATCCACCATTTCTTGTTACCCTCAGGTAATTTAACATAGCTATTGAAAATGGCTTATAGTGGATTTACCCACTAAAAAATGCTGGATCTTTCCAGTTCGTTATGTAAACGTTTACCAGAGGGTACTTCCCGTCTACAGACCTCCATTGAGGATGGCCCCGGATCGACCCAGATCGACGCCGTCAGGTCTGGGCTTCACCCTTTGACACCCCGCCAGAGGATCCCAGCAACCCCGGCGCCGGCTTCGTTCCGCTCTGTGCAGATGCGCCTGGGAAAATCATGTTGTGTGGGAAAATCATGGAAAATCCGGGTAATTCAGGATGAATTTAATCCTAGATGCAAACCATGGTGCTGGAATATTTACCTACATTTACCCCAAAAATAGCCCAAATGTAGGTAAATATTCCATACATGGAGCATCTGGGAATGATTAATGATTATGTTTCATGGATATTCATTGTTTATAGTGATTCATAGCAATTAATAATGTATTTCTGATGAATTTACCTATTTCATGACGATTAAATGTTGTGTTCCATATGGAAGTATCTGGTTTCATAGGGATAATGATGTGATAATATGTGAGAATAGAATATTAATTAATTGAGTGTCCCTCAGATCTGTTGGAAAACGCCCCATAAATGGAGGCCTATTCGCTTGGAAACTCATCTACGTAGATTGTGGGATTTTCCGGCTGCCATGTTTGATGAGCGGTCAGGATACAGCCGGCAAACCCTGAGTGGAGAGCAGCCGCCATTGCAATCCATTGCACACTGAAATACTGAGGCTGTTGTGAATGCAAACAATGACATCGAATGCTTCAGAAGCCAAGACATTCCCGTGTCGCAGCTGGGAGGCTCGGGGAACCTCTTCGTTTCTTGGCGACATTTGGCGACTCGACGAAACTGATGACTCGGAGTCAAGACATATACAGCATGATACAGCCCCGATGGGTATCAAAGAATTTGTGTATCGTGTTTTTCGCAAACATAAACAATCATGATCTAGCTCCTTTATGATTATGTTGACTCATGATAGTGGTTTTCATGATCAATAGTGGTTTTCAACGTCAGTCGTGTTTTCGATGATCTAGTTCCACCAATGGTTTTATGGATGTTTCCTTCATGACCCCGCCAGGTTCAAACTGGTCGAGACCAGACGACCGGTCTTCTGCCGGGCGGCCTCACCATAAAGAATCCCGTGATCAACAGGCGAGGGTAGCTGTCAAATATTTTTGCGCACCCATTTCTGGGGCTGAATTTGAGCTATTCTGAAATCTGGTGTGCACTGAATCCTGAGTTTCGTCCATTTGGGGATGCTGACATGAAATCCCTTGAAACCCTGGTCTAGTATTTTTGGGTTCGTCATTGGTGGTATTTAATAGTTTCGGGATAGAAGCAAGAAACATACTCAAAGATTACCTATCAAGAAACATACTCAAAGATTACCTATCAGATCCCATGTAAGCTGGTTGGTGGTTTCAAACATTTTATTTTGGCTCTGTGATCAAGACCCTGCCAGCTGGGGGAGTCGCGCTGGCCAATACTTGATTGGTTTGTGCGCCCGTTGCGTTTCATAGCCATGGATGTTTGGGGTAGCCCAGGTGATGCTCTGAACTTCGGATACCACTCAGGTGTCCTGGTTGGATCTAAGGTGGACTTGGTGGCCGACATCATTTCTGCTCAGGAGGATTCCATCCTTGTGAGTCTCTAGCCAGGTGGTCAACGTGCCGTGTTGCTTGGAGGTGTTGTCATCCCTGCTGAATGTACGTCAGTGTCGGTTTTCGATGCTACACTGCTGGAGGCTGGATCACTGCTTTGCTTCCTCGCTGACAAGCCTGATGAGATTCTGTTTCACAAAAGATGCTGCCGTAGTGAGTTCACCAAGATGGTAGAGTTTTGTGCTGGCATGGGAATCGGTATATATGGCTTTGCAACTGCTGGCATGGAAACCGTTGTTGCAGTCGAATGGTCCAAACCGATGGCCGAAACCTTCGAACTTATGCATCCGGGTGTCCCTGTCATTTGTGGTGATGTCAATGCCCGTGCCACTGTCAAAGAAGTGTATCGTCTGCACCCGAGCTCAGCCGTTTTGATGGCCGGATTTTGGTTGTCAGCCTTTCAGCATGGGTGGCATGAGGCGAGGTGCCAACGACCAACGACCCAACACGTTGGCTGCTACCCTCAAAGCAGGGTACATGCTCCGTAGTTTGGTGATCATCCTCGAATGTGTACAGGAAGCTGGCCGTAATTCGATGGTTCGTCAGCAGATTGAAGCGTTTCGAGATCAATGCAAATGCAAATTTCATTTGACTGAAGTTGTTTTGGCTCTTGATTCAGTGTGGGTCTCGAAACGCGGATGGTGGGCTGTCCTTGCTTCCAGTCTTTCCCTTGCTGCATTCGCCATCCGTGCCTCGGGACCTCTTGACTGGACCAAAGGACTTGGACTCGTCGGACCTTGCCCTACTGGAATTGAGAGGTGATGAACTTGACGCATTTTTTCAATATGTGCCTTGCCTGGCCAAAATGTTCCTGCCTGGAAATGTCAAAGGCCCAACGGCACTTCATTCATGGGGCAGTCAAGTAGTTGGATGCGAGTGTGGTTGTAGGACTGCTGGTTTCTCCCACGAAACCCTGTGTTCCAAAGGCTTGTATGGAATCCTTTTCCCTGTGCCTGGTGACCCGCATCCCACGCACCCTGAGGTTCCTCGAGTCCGACATCCCCACCCTAGGGAAGTCGCAGTCCTTTGTGGGGTGCCTGAAATGGTCTGGCCAGCAAGCCGTCGTTTGTGCCTGGCAGGTTTGGGACAGCAAGCATCGCCCGGAGGGCATTTGCAGAAACATGTGGATCTCATGTACACAGGTGACAGCAAGTTTGACCCGCTTGAGCTCATTGAAGATGTCCGTACTAGGGTTTGTGTCATTGCTGAGCACCTTGATTTTTGTCCTGTCGCCCCGCAAAATTTGCCAGAACCGCCAGTTGAACCAAGTATGGAAGTGCCATTGGACTCCACTCTCAGTGTCCCGTGGGTTCATTTCAAACATCTGGGAGGTCCTGGTGAGGTCACTGTGGTCCACTTTGTCGATCCTGTCCCATTTGTTGTCAAGTTGCCGGACCCTGCATGTACGATCGCTGCTGTTGTTCGTGCCACTTGTGAGCTGCTTGGACTTTGTGACTCTGAGGGCCGTGTCGTGGACTGTGCATCAGGATTGAACCTTGCCTCTGATCAACCTGCTGCTGGCCTCTGCTTGTGGATCTGTCGACATGCTGATCATGCTGCTGCCGCCCCTGGAGACGAAGTTTCTCCTACCATCCCGTGGATGGCAGAACCGGCTGATGTCCTGCAGGAATCTCCCCTTGAGTCCGTGGTGTCACCGGTTGCGTCAAGTGAGCCTTGCCATGCACCTCTGCCCTGTCGTCCTGAGCCATTGGTTTCGTTGGATTCTGGTCGTCTTCTGTTGGTCCCTGAACCATCGGTGCCTGATGTTGCCACTGTCCATGCACTTCGCAAGCAGACCATCGGTGTTGGGTCCAGGAAAGCCATTTTGGCCAATCAAGGGACACTTTGGCCAGATGATGAGCTGTGCTGGCATGTTGAACAGCTGATGAAAGCTGCCAATAAACACAATTAGGTTTTCATGGATCCTCTTTTGGAAGTCGAGGCATGCAAACTGCCCGGATCCAGTCTTTTCCGACCAAACCCACTGCTGTTCTTGGACTTGTCCCTGTCGACAATCTCAGGGGACAATCGCTGGATTCCTTTCATGTGGACTTGGAACGTGAAATGCATGATTGCTGCCAGTTGGGATGTCCCTGGTACTCCAAGCAATGGCCTCAGCGTCCTTCACCAGGGTTTGGCTACCGCTGTTGGCGCCCAGTCTTTCACTGTCCATGTGGTTCACCGGAGGTTCGCTGTTGAGGAGTTCTGTGGATTGTGTGCCTTGCGTTTCCTCGACTACATGCTTCGTGGCAAGCTGTTGCCTTCCACTTTGGATGAGGTTCGTCAACTTCACGCCACTGCCCGTTCCCTTTTTGTGGAATTCTTGGACTCTTGTGCAACTGTCAGTCGACCTTGGATTTGATGTGCTGGTCTGGATACTAAAGCAGCAGATCGTCTCAACTCGCTGCTTCTTGAACATGGTGTGGAATCCTCGCAAGTCAAGAACCGTGCTGCGTTGCTGATCCAAGCTGTTGGTTTGAGTGGTACTTAGCAAGCCCTCACGTCAGCCCAGCCATGGAGATCGTTGAAAGCGGCAGCCAACAAATGCAAACCAGTTTTCCAGATGGTTCTCCCTCAAGAGCTTGAAAATGTGGTCCAGAAACGAGCTGATCAAGGTGGCATGAAGGGCAAAAGGAAGAAGCAATCCACGCCGAGCAAACCCTCGCAGCAGCCTGCCCCACCAGCGCTGCTTGACCCGTCAAAGCTTGCTGTTGGGGACAACAGTTTTGTCACCCCTCATGGAGTCCTGGTGCCACAAGTTTCTTTGCAGACCACCGGACCCAAGGTACCATCCTCACTACTGTGGAGGAGGTTGCTGCGTTCCCTGGCGTTTGTTGTTCTCAATGCAGACAAAGCCATGCTGCGTACATCCCTCAGTTGGTCTTCTTTGAGAGTGGTTTTGCGTTGCCAAGCAAATGGGGAACCCATGCTTGCTCCGGCTTTCCTGGTCCAGCTTGGTCATGTCCCGGTCATTCCCAATATTGCATCGGCCAAAGAAGAAGCCCTCCATGCACCGGCCTGCTGCTTCAAAATTGCGTTGTACCGTGATGAAATTGAGTCTGAGTGGTCCTCGGCAGTTCAGTCACCTGTGAAGTATGTCCTTGCTCGCTTGCCTCCACTCCAGGTCTGTCAAGAAGGCACGCAGCAGAACCCTTGTCGTTGCAACAAGTGGCACCCTGGCCCCAATGATCAAGTGGAAGACCCTGTTCTCGACATTTGGCGCAGGCAATGGCTTTCCATGTCTTTTCGCACAGCTGCCCCAGATCATGCCGAACTCTTCCTTTTTAACTTGTGTTGTTTGGCCGTGCTGCAGATGCCCTTGCTCAACTGTTCAGGACGAGCCGGAATCTACATCGAACCCAGGACTTTGGATTCCAGAGATCCAGTCCTCGATTTCCAAGTCCTGTGGCTTCCCAAAACGCCTCACGACAAGCTGCTTAGGATCCAACAAACAACCAATCCCCAAGTCCTTGGTCTTGCACGTATGGGCTCCAGACTTGGTATTCGATCGAAACTGGATGACGCGGCCTCTCTTGCCCGCCTGCTGAAACCTGGATCAATCTTCATCGGTTCGCCCTTTGGTCTTGACAGGCTCACAGTCTCGAAACTTTGCGGCCAGTGGGGCTGGCAGGCGCGACCACTGCATCCCAGCCGTTCTGTGGAGGGCACTCTGGGCAACCTGTGGCTAGTGAAAGCCTGCGCCAACCCTCCCAGTGCAGTGGTCAAGTATCAAGGCAATGATGTTGTGATGTTGCTGCTTATTCTGTTGTCTTGTCTCGTCCGTTTCAGTTGGATTTCGATGCTAGTTGGTTCATGCCTGTCGCTGCTCAGCCGTTAGCCCGGGTCCTCCAGACTGCCTACCGCGCTGAGCTGAAAGCCATCCTTGTTGCTTTGGAATATGCAATCCGCCATGATGCGTGGTGCCGCATTTGGACTGACTGCGTCAATGCGATTAAGGCGTTTAAGCTTTTTTTGTGTTGATGGCCACCGTGTTAAGCCCAATCACCGTAATGCTGATCTCCTTAAGCAACTCCAAGACTTGGTGTTGCACCTTGGTGTCTCAACCGTTGCGGTCATGAAGGTACCAGCCCATGAGGATATCCAAGAGTATTCCAATGACCTTGAACGTTGGCTGATCATGGGGAACATAACGGCGGATGCTGCAGCCATTGGAGCCAATCAAGCCAGACCAGAAGCCTTTTGGAATTTGTGGTCGTCCTACGTTGCCCAAGTCACCGAGTCGAGAAACCATGCCATGCCAGTGCGTGCCCATATGCTCGCTGTAAGCAAAATGTGGAAGCAAACAGTCCCAGCTGCGACAGTTTCACAGCCCAAGCCTGCCAGGCCTGTGCGGCCTAGTCGAGAGCAACGGGGTTGCAGTGGTCTTCACCCGAGAGCATACAGTTGTGTCACCCGACTTTTCGGAAGTTTTTTCCAGCTGAGCTTGCCAGAGATGTACAGAGTTGGATCTCCCGCATCCGTGCCCCGGCCGATGGACTTCGATGGATTCCGTACATTCATTTGTACATAAGTTTTCAGCTCCGTTTCGGGCCATGGGCCATTCTCAAAAGTGCCGGGAAATGGCACGCCGAACGCGGCGAAATTGCACGGCTGTCGAACCACACGAAGTTTGGGGTGCGTGTGAAGCATTTCAGACTGATGTTTCAGCAGTTTTTGAAGGATGCTGACGTGCGTTTCGTGACCGGGACCGTCAGATCGGATTCTCAATGGGTTTGTTGTTTCAAAGGGGCCATTGGTTTCCATTTTTGCCTTGATGAGTTTCGGTTTGTTGAAACGTGGTTGTCCCAACATTTGACGGGCCCGGCCACGGGACCGCAATAGCACGGCCAACGCTGCGTGACCCAGGTTGGCGACGCTGTGCCAGGCGCAAAAACATTTTATTTTCCATAATATATGGGATAATCCTTCCCATTGACTTTCATATTTTTCAAGATGATTAAAACCACCAACCAGTACGTAAGTTTGAAGTGAGAAAACTCCAGAAGTTGTGTCCACCTCTCTCGGCGATGAAATCTCAGTGCCAGGGTTACGCGCAGCCACGAATTTGAAGTCGGAGCGCTGAAGGTGATTGTCGAGGGTTCAGACTTTGGAACCAAAGACAATGGGAACATGGACACTTGGATGGAGACTTGAGATATGTTGATGATTTGTTGCATGAAATTTGTTGATTACCCTTCATTTTTCGATGGTTCTGCTTGGATTGGTCATATGACTTGCTCGGCCATGCTGGAATGTGCTAGAGGAAACCAACATGACAGGAATAGGAATTGGATGAATTGGGTATTCCTATACCATTCCTATTTACTAATTAACAATATACAGTTGGATGAATTGGCATTTACATAGTACAGATGGGAACTGCAGTTTCCATCCCTGGGATGACTTGACACCTGCCAGATCATACTAATCCAATGGCTTTGTCGGAAACTTGAGGAGAAAAACAACAAAATCCGGTGGATTATCATTTGGGCATCCAAATGTATCCACCATTTTCAGTCAACTCCTATCAGTCAGTGTTTTGTAATAAAACACAACAAAAATGATATAAGAACAACAATATGTAATGTTGCTGGTTGCTAGTAGCTGGTTGCTGGTTAATATTAGGTAGTGGTAAAATGTTGCTGGTTGTTATTATTATTGCTGGTACTATACAGGTACATAATCAAGATTTGGTTGGTTTGAACTCGTTTTAAATGTTCAACCTTGTGACGAGCATTTTGTGGTAATGATTTGGTAGGATGATGGGGGGTTGAAACCACCAGCAATTATAAATTAGAATAGTAATAGTAACAATACCAGTAATAGCAAGCGAAACAATGATGTAGTAGTCATAGTAACTAGTAACAAAACCAGTGATAGTAATAGAATAGTAATAGCAATAGTAGCAGTAGGAGTGATAGCAATAGTAACAACAATGATGCAAGTAAGAGAAGATAAATACAAGAGTACTTCTAAATAGTAAAAATAACAACGATCATTATGATAAATGAATCTACATTGTTTTCAGAATGATAATACAAATATTGATAATAATGAACATGATAATAACCATGAATAGTCCATAGATCATAGATGTATGAATAGAAATGATGTTGAGACAATCAATAATTGTAAAATTATGGTACTATTCATCCAGGATTTCGTTTTTATATCATTCGTTCAAGTGCATATAATCGTCAATAAATTAAATGCATGAAATCCATTCAAATCCACATTGATAATATCACTATCATCCTTATTAATGACACAGAATTATGATAATGATAATAACTATCAAATCATTATCACAATGCGAAGGATCCAACTGCCATCATATCACAACTATAATGCAATTATCATTAAAATAGTATTATCATTATTGTCATAATTACAACTCTTCAATAACTATTCAGTATCATACAATTATATACAATTATCCATAGTGATTCATCTAATAAAATGTCATGGTGTAATTAATCGGTTCCCCCAAACGATCCAACCGCGCTTTACGTGACATCCCGTCCCAGGTCTGTAACCTCGAGAGCTTCGGACCGGACACGCAGAGCTTGGCCGATCTTCGCCTAGCAAGTGGCTTGGGAGATCCCGGCTGCTTGGGCCGAAAACTGCGGTGTTGTTTTAATGGGAATTAGGAAAGGGGAATGGGATTTTAAATGATCATGGAATGCGAATAGGATTTTGGAACGTGAATAGAATTTGGATAGAATGTGAGGATCTGAATGGATCTGAAGAAGAGATTTTGTCAGCATTCATTGGAGTCAAACGGTGTGTTTATTGTTTTTAAGTTATGGAGATGTCATTCAAAATTGGGATTATACAAAGCGATACTGGACGTTGTGTTTGCCGACTTGCCCAAGAATGGGTTGGATACCCAGCAAGTCAGCAAGTCTTTTGATTGGATCATCAGTACAATAGCTGTCAAGGGATCCATAGTTATGGAGCTGTTCATCCCCCAAAAAATGCTACGTATAAATACGTATAATATATATATGAAACATATATAATATATATAATATATATAATATAATATTAGTATTATGTATAAAAGTAGAAAGGCATTGTTATGCATTGACCCGTTCAAATATTTCAATGAGTTGATATGTATATATATACACACATTGGGACGGTATAAATCAGAGAAAAAAGGTGTTCTACGGCCATGATTGGTCAAGCTGCTTGATTTTTTAGCCACAAATGACTGAAGAAATAACTTCTGGTTATTTGACATAGGGAAGCCATGTATGAACATGGCCCCTTTAATCCCATTTATAACAACTATAATGGTTTAGCGTGTTTCAATACTACCAGAGAGTATATCCGTACATGACGTAGATGTACTATAATGCGTTGATCATTTGTTGTATAATTCTTTCAGGGAGGCGAACAGTTCTGCCAAAAACATGGCCTGAGGTTACATCACTTCATGCGAGGTCGAATCGCACGAGGCAGGGAAAGATTGACATGCTGATGTCATGGCTATAGGGTGGATATCATCAGGGAACAGGGATATTAAATGATATTAATGTTAACTCTGGACTAATAAATGTCGTGGGCTGTTCAACAGAACAGTAAATCAAAACAGTGTGGCACCTTGACATCGAGTAACACGCAGAAAGGGGGGTGTGACCAATGACGCATGGATATGTTGGAAAAGTGACTGTAAATCAATGCCAAAAAAGGTGGTTCAACGGTGGTTATATAGTCTCCCTGGTGATGGAACGCTGATCCATGCGCAAACGTTGAAATTGCATAATATTCTGGCCTCGACTATAGGTACAAGATTATGATATCTTCTCGAATTTGTCTGAAAATTCATACACCATGGGTCCGTTCGCATGTTTCTTTTTTTTCGGCGTTTCCTTTTACAGCCGAATCTATTCAGGAACCACCAGTTGAATTTTGTCACCCAAAATTGTATGGTGACCAGACTTGAACATATATTATTATATATATATATTATATATCCCCCATAGATATGTATGTTTATATCCCCCATTTATATTAATCACATTTTTTTTGTTGATGAGTTGTTCTCCATGAATCCACCATGGAGCGGTGCCACAGGATACGCGGGTGGTCTGCAACTGCATCCAATCGGGCACCCAGCAGAGTGTCTTAGGAACGCCCGTAGACCAAGGTGCGGGGCCGCCTAGAAGGGGCCCTTGTTGTTTTTCTTTGTAGGGATTGTAAGCATGAAAGATATGAAAATATCCAGCTATTTTAACCCAGCAGTGTAATGATGGAATGACAGGGAGGGTTTTGAGCACTCAATTTTCCGTTGCTACTGGTAGGGGGTTGATATAGGGAGTTGTATCTGATGACTCTGGGTATTTCCAGATGGGTATGATAAATGATACCCTGAGGGCATTTTTTTCATGCCTTCAATCTGTGTACTTTGGTAGTCAGTTGTAATGGCAGGCACTTTGATCCATAGCTTCATACTCAAGATGAAGATACCATGGCAATTCCGCACTCTGTAGATTGATCATCCGTGCTGATCAAGGTTTGATGATTGGGTTGAAGTTGTTTCAACCGATTGTGGAATTAGCTGTGGTGGGTGTTGACACTCTCATGATTCTTATTTCTTCTGTTGGAAACGCGTTAATGCACCCCATTTTTCCATGTTATTCATCACATACGTACGTCATTCATTCATTCATTCATTCATTCCATTCATTTCATTCATTTCATTCCTTTCATTCCTTTCATTCATTTCATTCATTTCATTCATTCATTCATACATACATACATACAGTCATTTACTGTACATTACTGTACATTACTGCACACTGCTGCACATTACTGTACATTGCTGTACATTACTGCACATTACTGCACATTACTGCACATTACTGCAAATTACTGCACATTAATTGCAGTACATTGCAGTACTTTACAGTACTTTACAGTACATTACAGTACATTACAGCACATTACAGTACATTACAGTACTTTACAGTACTTTGCAGTCCTTTACAGTACTTTGCAGTCCCTTCACAGTACTTTGCAGTCCTTCACAGTATTTTGCAGTACTGTGCAGTATTTTACCCTATTTTACCATTAATTTACAGTACATTGCAGTACATTGCAGTACTTAACAGTACATTGCATTACATTGCATTATCATTCATCCAGCCATCCAGCCATCCAGCCATCCATCTATCCATCCATGCACGCATGCACATGCATACATACGCATAGATACACATAGATCCTTATAGATGCATCTAGATCCATATAGGTACAAATATAGTTGCATATAGATACATGTAAATCCATATAAATAAACCTAGATAGATATAGATAGATATAGATACATATATAGATAGATACAGAGAGACAGCCAGCCAGCCCGGCAGGCAGGCAGAGAGACAGATAGATATATAGACAGACAGATAGATACATCTAGACATACCTTCATTAAGTTCAATATACCATAGATATATAGACATCCATATAAGACAGATAGATAGATAGATAGACAGATAGATAGATAGATAGACAGATAGATAGATAGATAGACAGACAGACACAGATAGATAGATAGATAGACAGACAGGCACAGATAGATAGATAGATAGACAGACAGACAGATAGATAGATAGAAAGATAGAAAGACAGACAGATAGATAGATAGATAGACAGACAGACAGATAGATAGATAGACAGACAGATAGATAGATAGACAGACAGACAGATAGATAGATAGACAGACAGACAGATAGATAGATAGACAGACAGACAGATAGATAGATAGA